TATATATATATATATATATATATATATATATATATATATATATATACACTTTACATTATTTTTTATATTATAAAAATTTTTAAATGCTGTAACTTTAGAACTGATGAGTTTTCCATTTGCTCAGTGTTCACTCACCCTGGACAGAGCAAAGTACATCTCCATCTCAGCCAGCCTCTTCCCCACACAGGCCCGCACCCCAACGCCAAACGGGATGAAGCTGTACGGGTGGTGCTGATAGAAACCAGGTGTGGCTCTGCCGCTGTGGCTGCTGGGAGACTCCACGTTCAGCCATCGCTCCGGGACAAAGTCCTCCGGGTTAGTGAACTCTGCCTCATCGTGACAGGCGGCGTAGTGACACAGGTGGAACTGAGTCTGGGAACAAAGAACCGTAAAGTGAATTTACTGAGAACCCAAAGTAAAACCTTTAGCAGCGTCGGTTCTTCTGGTCTACCTTTTTGGGGAACCAGTAGTTGTTTACGATCACCTCATTCTCTGAAACGAAGCGTCCGTTTCCGAACACTACCGGATACAGGCTGGAGAAGAAACAGATAAATGTGACACTTGGTGTGCACGTTGTCACACGAGATGAAACAGTTGTTCTGCTGCTTTCAAGAGACAAAAACCACAAAACACAAGTTGCTTTTCAGCTGTTTTTTGTGCTCGTTTCTGATTCGTTCTGCTAACTACAACATTTTTGCTCTTCTTCTAACTTCTTTCTGCTAGTTTCAGCTTTTTCTACTATTTCAGCTACTATGTAGCAGTTTTTATGCTAATTTAAGCTTTTTCAGCGAATTCAACATGTTTTGCACTGATTTAAACTTTTTTCAGCCTAATTCAGATAAAATGTGCTCTCTCCACTACCTTCTGGTACTTTAAGCTTCTTTCTGCTTTTTTAGCCACTTTTTAAGATGGTTTTATGCTAGTTTTAGGGTTTTTCAGGTAATTTGCTATTGTTTTTTGTGCTCATTTCTGCTTCTTTCAGCCTAATTGGGCAAACATGTTATTTCTTTCTTCGGCTAATTTAAGCTTGTTCTACCTTTTCATCTAGCTTTTGAGCATATTTTAGCTAATTTCAGCTGTTTTAAGATAAATTCAAGTGTTCTGTGGTAATTTCAGCTACTTGCAGCCTAATTAACTTCTTTCGACTAATTTCAGCTTGTGGTGCTCCTTTCAATTTATTTCTGCCAGTTTCAGCTTTGTTCTGCTATTTTAGCTACCATTTAGCTGTTTTGTGCTAAGTTTAGCTCTTTCAGCTATTTCCACATTTTTTTTTTACCTCATTTCAGCTCTTTCCACTTCCTTCTGGTAGTTTAAGCTTCTTTCTGCCTTTTAAACTACTATTCAGCTATTATTTTTGTTTGCTAATTTTAGCTTTTTTAGCTAATTTCCTAACTTTTTTTGCTAATTTCAGCTTTTTTTCAGAAAATTTCCTTTGTGTGTGTGTGTGTGTGTGCTCATTTTGGCTTCTTTCAGCCTAACTGGGAAAAAGGTGTGCTTGCTCTACTTACTTTTGCTCATTTAAGCTTGTTCTACATTTTCAGCTAACTTTTAGTTGTTGTTTTTTTTGCAAATTTCAGCTGTTTTCAGATAAATCCAAGTATTTCATGATACTTTCTGCTACTTTCAGTCTACTTAGCTTCTTTCGACTAATTTCAGCTTGTGATGCTCCTTTCAATTTATTTCTGCCAGTTTCAGCTTTGTTCTACTATTTTAGCTACTATTTAGCTGTTTTGTGCTAAGTTTAGCTTTTTCAGCTATTTCCACATTTTTTTTTACCTCATTTCAGCTCTTTCCACTTCCTTCTGGTAGTTTAAGCGTCTTTCTGCCTTTTCAGCTACTATTCAGCAATTTTTTTGTTGCTAATTTAAGCTTTTTTTAGCTAATTTCCTAAGTTTTTGCTCATTTCTGCTTACTTAAACAAAATTCAGTAAATATTTGTTCGTTTTGCTTTCTTCTGATAACTTAGGCTTCTTCTTCCATTTCAGCATGTTTTTAGCTAATTTCAGCTGTTTTTCAGCAAGTTCTTCAGCAATATTCGTTTACACTAGATTTTCTCTGGAAATGCAATTTGTCTAGTTAAAAAAATGTCTTCCTGCCACTTTTGTTAATGCTATGTGTGGAGGACACCTGAGTTCTGATGCTAAATAAAGACTATTGCTCACAGCTGCTGAACATGATGTCATATCTTGTTATATACTGTATATTATATGTTATGATATGAACTTGGTTTGTACCAGAAGCGAGTTGTGCATATTTGTTTTAGGAGGAGCAGATTTGACCCTTTGCTCCTATCACTTTTACTCCAAATGAAACACACATAGTACTTTCTGTTTCTGCTTGATTGATGCTTGCATCAAAATACACAAGCTGCTCGTTTCAGCGGTTAGACAACTACAAACCTGTTTTTCAAAGTGTGCGTGGTTACTGTGAAGTTGAAGGAGTGCAAAATTTTCACATTAGTTAAATAAGATGAAAAACATCCACATCGGTGAAGACACAAAGAGAAGCTAAAACTGTAATTTGTTTATTCTGATAGTTTTAGATTAAAGATGAAAAACTTAAAAATTTTATCATAGGAAACAATTTGTTTTGCTTGTCTACTTCGACTCCTTTCAGTTGCAACCGGTGCAGATAAGCATTTCAGGTCCGAGTCGATCAGTTCTGTTCATCAGTTTTGAGTAAGCTCAGCTCGTTTCTCTGACACGCTAACAGAATAACAAGCTGCTGACTTTGGTTTCTTTAAACACATTTTGTGGGATTAAAGATAGATGTTTGACTTCAGACATATGACCATCTTTAACCCTTTCTTGAACCATTTGTGAATAACACCGTTCAGGACCAAACCATGATACTACTGCCAACGTGCTTTACACTGGAAGACATTGCTTTTCTTATTAGTCGCTCTAAACTTTCGTTCAAATAATAATTTTTGGTCTAATCTGACCACCAGCGTTCTTCCACCGAGCTTCGGATTTGTTCATGGGATCTTTAGCTGAGCTGCAGACAAGCAGCAAGGTGGTTTAACAGCTATTTTATTAAAGATTTACATACTCTTTCACCTCACAGGCATACAAAACTAGAAGATTTGACTGATTTGAAGATTTGATTCAAAAATATGGAAAGACATATCAGACATTGGGGGAAATGTCGGCATCATTATATTTTGAGTTTGGTGCTTCCAAACTGCTGGATTCAAAACCAGCTGGTGTTTATTACCTGTTTTCAATGAGGATAAGAGTCTTTGACATTACAGTTAATTCTAAAGCTCTGACAGTCAATTAAACCAAGAAAATCAGGTTGAGTGGAACAAAAGACTTGTTCCAACACGGTTTTCATCACAGCTGTAGTGAGGCAGGGACAGCTTTTCTGTAGCTTCACTACTAATTAATTATTCTTAAAACTAGTTCAAGCACAAAGAATATTAATTATTTAAATGCAACGGATTCTTTCTTTTTCGAGTTAAATTTCTGCCATGTGACCGAGATGACTGTGAGGAGTGTTTAATCAGTGACATGAGACGCCATTTTTCTTTGACCCATCAGAATAAATGCGGTCATTGATTTAACAGAATCAAAATTTAACATGAAAACATGTACACATCGATTTGCTGATCTGTTTCTGATTAATAAAAACTTGGCACGCTTTACTAACAAGACAACAGAACATTTCTGAAGGCGTCTAGATTACTGGCAAAATAGAAAAGTTTAAAGGAAGGAATGGAGAAGTTTAAAAGTAGATGGATGGAGGAAGATGTATGTTGTTGACCAGAATTAGCACGCTTCTTCCAACACCAGCTTAAACCCCGGGTACACGGTGCGCGACGACTCGTTACCTTTGTAGAGGATGAATCAGCTCCGGTACAGGGTCCATTTCAACGCTACCTTTCCAGCGTCTCCGGTTAAAGCGGCTGGTCATCGTCAGAAGTCGTGTGGTTTACTCCGTTAAACAGAGCAAGCTCCCTTCGAAGTTGTAGGGCGTTACGCCCGGGTGAGTTCACAGCGAGGCGCTGTGGACTCCAGCTGGGATGGACGGACCCTCGTCTCACGGTCAAATCCATCAGCTATTGATTAAATCTGAAAGTTCCTTAGGAACTCTCAGAACGACTTCAGTCAAAGAATGAAGAAGACTGAAGACTCAGAAGACTCCATGAAAGACTCTAGGAAGACTGACTAGTTCCAGGAAGTGTTGACTTTTAAAAGAGTACTCACTTCCGGTCACTTAGTACTTCCTGATTGGTTGAAACAACCAACAAGGGGGGGGGGGGGGTGTTTCAATGATGTCAGAGGGTTATTAAAAGTCAAAAAGACAGCAGGAATGTTTACGAACGATTAGTACAGACAGAGAAATGTTTTGAAGAAGTGAGAGGAAGCAGGTGCCAGTTGCTTCTTTTTTACCGTCTGCTAGGTTTAAAACAAGACACTTCGTTCTAAAAACTTGTCTCTGTCTGTCTCTGACTTTCGACCGACATCACTTCTCCTCATTCAGACAGAAGATCAAAATGCATAATTACTTTGTAAATAGACATTTAACTTGATTTCTAATTTAAATTAGGTTTAAAAAAATCATTAATACTGTTTCACAGTTGATTTAAAATGAGTGGTTCACTTCAACATTTAGAAATGGTTTGAACTAAACACACTTTGATTATCAAAAAGAAGAGTGTTCTTTCAATTGATTAGTTCAGGATACAATTAAACAGTCTCTTGATGAGCTAATTTGTATTTCTGGATTCAAATCAATGAAATAACAGTTCCTGTCCCCTGAAGGTCTTCAGAGACAGGTTGTGGTCGGAGGCCTAGTTCACTACACAGCAGAAGTCCGTGGTGTCGACTTGATGCTTTCATGTGTGAAACTAACATAAACTGGAGAAATTGCATTTCCTGCGAAAATGCAGTGTGGATGCTTATTGCTAAAGAATGTGCTAAAAAACAACTGAAATTAGCTAAAAACATGCTGAAATATAGCTGAAATGGAAGAACAAGCCTAAGTTAGCAGAAGAAAGCAGAAAGGACAAATATTTTCTGAATTATGTTTAAATAAGTAGAAATTAGCAAAAAAGTTAGGAAATTTGCTATTAAATAAAGCTAAAATTAGCATAAAAAAGGCTGAATAGTAGCTTAAAAGGCAGAAAGAAGCTTACACTACCAGAAGGAAGTTAAAAGAGCTGAAACAAGCTAAAAAATGTGGAATTAACTTAAAAAGCTAAACTTGGCACAAAACAGCTAAACAGTGTCTGAAATAGCAGAAAAAGCTGAAACTAGCAGGCATAAATTTAAAGGAGCTGAAATTAGCTGAAAGAAGTTAATTAGACTGAAAATAGCAGAAAGTATCATGAAACACTTGGATTTATCTGAAAACAGCTGAAATTTGCAAAAAAAAAAAAAAAAGCTAAAAGTTAGCTGAAAATGTAGAACAAGCTTAAATGAGCAAAAGTAAGTAGAGAGAGCACACCTTTTTTCCCCAGTTAGGCTGAAAGAAGCAGAAATGAGCACACACACACACACAAAAAAAGGAAATTATCTGAAAAAAAGCTGAAATTATCAAAAAAGTTAGGAAATTAGCTAAAAAAGCTAAAATTAGCAAACAAAAATAATAGCTGAATACTAGTTTAAAAGGCAGAAAGAAGCTTAATCTACCAGAAGGAAGTGGAAAGAGCTGAAACGAGCTAAAATAATGTGGAATTAGCTGAAAAAAATTAACTTAGCACAAAACTGTTAAATAATAGTTAAAATAGCAGAAAAAGCTGAAACTAGCTAAAATAAAGTGAAAGGAGCATAACAAGCTGAAATTAGCAGAAAGAAGTTTATTAGGCTGAAAGTAGCAGGAATTACTACGAAACACTTGAATCTATCTGAAAACAGCTGAAATTAGCTAAAAAAATGCTAAAAAAAAGTTAGCTGAAAATGTAGAACAAGCTTAAATGAGCAAAAGTAAGTAGAGAGAGCACACTTTTCCCAGTTAGACTGAAAGAAACAGAAATGAGCACAAAAAGTGGAAATTATCTGAAAACGGCTGAAATGAGCAACAAAACAAAAAAAAAAACAGCTGAAAAGTAGCTAAAAAGACAGCAAGAAGCTTAAATTATCAGAAGGAAGTGGAGAGAGCACATTTTTACTAAATTAAGCTGAAAAAAGTTGAAATGAGTGCAAAAAATGTGGAATTAGCTGAAAAAACTAAAATGATCAAAAAACAGCTAAATTGTAGCTGAAATAACAGAAAATGCTGAAATTTTCAGAAATAAGCTGAAAGGAGCATAACAAGCTGAAATTGGCAGAAAGGAGTAAGAAGAAGCACAAAAATGTTTTAGTTAGCAGAAAGAATCTGAAAGGAGCACAAAAACCGCTGAAAACAGCTGAAATTAGCTGAAATTAGCTGAATTTTTTAAAAATTTGCACAAGGAAGCTGAAAGATGCTGATGCAGGTCAAAAAGTGAAAGGAGCAGTAAAATATTCTAAACAGATCTAAAGATTTGAAGGATGTAAAATGAGCTCAATTAATTTTCTATGAGGATAAAAGTGACAAAAAAGGCTAAATATCTCAAAAAGCTAAAGTTGCACCAATACCAAAAGTCACAGTAGGATTGTCCGGAAAGACCTGAACGTTTTGATTTATGACTTATTGAAATAGCACAAAAATTGTGGAATGAGAAAGATGCTGAAAAACGTACAGAAGAAAAACTGGATCACAATAGTGTGAATGCTTCATAAGTAGAGGTGAAATCTACACTTTAGACTAAACCTAGCCTGATTTCATCCTGGATGTTCATTGATGCTTTAGATGTTGTTTAGGCCCAATTATAAAAAAATTAACATGTCCATGGAGATGCTCACCGTAACGTTTCCTTTATGACAGCCTTCAGGTAGGCCATCCTGCTCAGGTCTTCTGTGGTCGGTTGCCGTTTCTTGGGACACACAGAATTCACCTCGTTGTACAGGTGGTCCTGAGCCTTGGGGTCTCTCGCCAAGTGGTACAACGCCCAGGACAAGGTGTTAGATGTCTGGGACCAAGTCAGAAGAAACAAAAAGGCAGAATATAACAAGAGCTTTTCAGCTACCACCATACCAAATTTCAGCGAAATATGGCAAAATATCAGTGATTTATAGTCATTTTTTGTTTTAAGCTATGGTGGCCATCTTGGATTTTTGATTTTTCGACAATCACGCCAAATTTCAGCTCGATGTGTAAAAATAGCCGAGTTGAAGCCATTTAAATGTCGCTTTGGTGGCCATCTTGAATTTTTTTTTTTAAATTCATTATATACTGGGCATTGCTTTCAGCTACTACCACACCAAATTTCAGCTCAATATCTCTAAAAATGGCTGATTTACAATACTTTTCCTTTTTAGTTCAGGTGGCCATCTTGGATATTTGATTCACAACCAGAGTCTATGAAAAATAACGAATAAAAATGGCACATTTGTTTGCAAATTACGTCACCATGATAATTCAAAACACCAATAAAAGCAATAGCACACATCACGGTGCCAAGCCGGTTGTTTTGATATAACATTTATAGGGGTACACGTTGCGGTTTGGGCAGCATTAAAGTTGACGGAAGAGTAAAATATAAAGTTAAGAAACCCTTGTCAGGTGGATAATAAGAAGTGCTGCCTTATACTAGGCAGTCCCCAATGACAAAAATATACAGTTTCTTTAAGATCGTAACACTTATTTGTGAGTCTACTGGACAAGGAATTGGATCAGTTCTGTTTTTCACAGAGAATGTGTAAATGAAAAATATATTTTTTACAGTGTATCAACCATAGTATGTACTTTTGGTTTTACAATCGGCTCAATTTGTTATTTCCTTTATAATTTACCATAAACAAACACTGATAAATTGTAGTTCCTCATGTGTTGTACTGTTTTTTTTAACGGTGAAATTCTGGCAACCACAGCTGCCGTTGTTTTACCGTAAATTATACAAAAAAAATTTTTTTACAGTGTAGCTAAAGGCTAATGTACTATAAAGTTGATTTTTTTTGGAAATGTATGAGTTACTAAACTAAAAATCATAGCACCCATTGCCTGAATGAGCAGAACGATTTGACGAATGGCTAAAATAGCGCAAAGTATGCAGAAGCAGAATATAACATACGGACAAATAATAAAAAAATAGAGGGACTCAGCATTTATACAATTGTTTCAAGGTTCATCTTATCCTGTTTTTAAAACCTTATCAGATTTTAACTCTTATCAACTGGCTGCTGAATAAAGAAGCAGATATTATAGGTTGCACAATCCTCCATCTTTCATTTGACGGCAACAAGCCTAAACTTCTCCAGGGAATGTAGCCAAACAGGCTCTGGAAGGGTTCAGACTCTTACTGCTCCATGTGCTAATCATTCATCAGTCCACCTTGGCCTGTGCAGGATCTGTTCCCCCTGAGCTGGTATGAAAGCATCTGAATGGGAGCAATGGTGTCAAACGGGGAGGTTACTCACTCAAATAAATATTAATGGTGTAAAAAAACAAGTAATTTTTACACAAACATGAACGTTTTTTGCTTCAAAGATCTAAATGTGAACATGAAGTTAAACAAAGTATGGGTCATGGTCCACACTTCTGGTCATGCTACAGTTTTTCTGCATGAATATTATATGATGCTTCTTGAACTGAACTGGTTGCACACATTTTAAATTTCTGGTTTAAACCTTTTTGTTTTTTTGGGGGGGGAGACATAGCACTCACACAATTGATATCCTGGTTTTATTTTTTATAGTGTTTTGACATAAACGTATGTAGCATTATTTGTGCTATTATAGCTATTTTGAAATCAAAACTTTCGGCTCGTTCAGTAAATAGGACCTGTGACTTACAGTGGTTTTTGGTACTTGTATACTTTTCAAAAACATTTAGGATAGATTACAAATATTGTCTCCATAGAAATCCCTTTGTTTCTTTCAGATACATTGTTCTGCATCAGCATAATTCGATTAATACTACTATTGCTAATGCTAATACTCAGTGGTGGGATGTAACTAAGTACAAATACTTCGTTACTGTACTTAAGTACATTTTTTGTGTATCTGTACTTTACTTAAGTAGAGTTAAATGTGGGTACTTTATACTTTTACTTCACTACATTTTACATCAAGTATCTGTACTTTCTACTACACTACATTTCTATAATGCGTTGCATTACAAGTTACATTCATGTTGCAGCTTTTTGATTTGTTTGTTACTTTGAAAGTAACCAGTGGTGAGAGGGGAGCTGGTCCATTGAATCACTTCAAAGTGGACAGGTAACATTAGGCCTGCCTTCAAGAAGAGCTGGGCCAATGACTTATATTCTAGTATATATGTCACTGAGCTAGGTGCACCTGCAGCACCACTAGCACACCCAAAGTGTATTCCACCGCAAGAGAGTCAGCCAGAAGGTATGCTCCACCAATGGCCTTATTGAAAGATTATTGAAAGGCTCAGTACAGCAGGACACCTTCTCTCTCCCAAAAGAGCCAGACTGGATTCAAAAATCTTTGAAAACCAACTTCTTCTGAACTTGAACAAGAAATTCTTGCTGCAATATTAAAATGTGTCAGTTCATGATGTTCGGACAGGAGACAAGCGATGTCTCCAAATGTCTCGACACTCAGGTCCAAGTTTTGAAAATAGTGTCAGGAAGTTAAAATATTGTTCATTATTGACCCATTACAAGGTTGAATAGGCTGTATTTTAACTGGAGTTGATGACAAACTGGAGTTGAAATGATCAGTGGAAATGATCAGAGCTGTTCCTTTGTTACTTGTGTCTAATGCTCCTTTTGTTCAGGCAGACAACTTTTACTTACTTTAACTTTACTGCAGTGAAAATGACACATTGGTTTTGATTTGTGTTAAATAAAAACTTTCAAAGGTAAAATCATTCCTCTTTCTTATTTTGCTTAATGACATTTAACTCTGCAGGTCATCCCTGAAATTCTGATGCACAGAATCACAAGTCCAAGTGTGAAGTGTGTCACAGAATAAACACAATAAAAACATGTATTATCTGCAGCATCGTTCATTAAAATGGAACAACATTATTTATGTATTACAGAAAATATACATATGGTACGCAGACTTAAAGATATGTATACCATTACATTAGGTAATACATTCAGCAAGTACTTTTACTTTTAATACTTTAAGTATTTTAAAAGCAAGTACTTATTTACTTTTACTTAAGTAAAAATGTTAATGTGGTACTTCTACTTTTACTAGAGTACATTTTTTTCTGTTTATTTGTACTTTTACTTAAGTACAGTGTTTGAGTACTTTCTCCACCACTGCTAATACTGCTAATGCTAATAATCCATGCATCCATTATCTTTTACCTGCTTCTTCCATTTCGGGTCACGGGGGTCGCCGGTGCCCTTGTCCAGCAATCACTGTGTGAGGGGCGGCGTACACCCTGGACAGGTCTCCAGTCCATCACAGGGACACATAGAGACAAACAACCATTCACTCTCTCACTCACACCTAGGGACAATTTAGAGTTACCAATCAGCCTAACATGCGTGTTTTTGGTCTGTGGGAGGAAACCGGAGTACCCGGAGAAAACCCACGCATGCACGGAGAGAACATGCAAACTCCACCCAGAAAGGCCCCCGGACCGGGATTTGAACCGGCAACCTTCTCGCTGAGAGGCAGCAGCTCTACCAGTTGCGCCACCGCTAATGCTAATAGTTCTACTTTAAATTATATTAATGCTAATAATGCTAATTCTGTATATGCTAATGCTGAGACTACTAGTGCTAATGCTAATGGGCCAAGATGGGGTAGGGCAGCCAACTGGGGACCAGAAATTTGACTCCCAGCCATTCCCACATGTCGTGGTGTCTCTGAGCAAGACACCTGATCCCCACTTTCTCCCTGGGCGCTTGCATAGCTGCCCACAGCTCCACCTGGGTGTATCCCATGTGCGATAGATCAAATGTAGAGAGCTAATGTCATTGTATGAGAACATACAATGATGACAATCTCAGACTTTCCCCCTTTACATACCTGCGAACATTTGAGCATTTTACAGTTGCTAGCTCAAAGATAATATTTCACAATGCACAGTGGTATAGACACATACTTCACATTATGGCCTATTCCCAGTTTTTGACATCTAATCAACTTTAATTTATTGTTTGTACATATCTGTTACTGTCATTGACAATAGTCTTCTTATCCAATTAAAAAAAAATCATCTATTGTTTCATCTTTGCGTTCACTATTATCGACAGTTGGTATTCTTCCAATATATTCTACAATGGTTACTGGAAGTAGCTACGAAAGGGCTAAGGACGCCAGGGTTTATGCATGCACGTTAGTATTCCTACAGAGGTCTGTATATATATATATATATATATATATACATATATATATACATATATATATATATATATATATATAAATATGTATTATTTGCAGACCAAAAACATACGTTAGGCTGCCTTCAGGCCCAGGCCTCCCTTGCAAAAACATTTTGTCATCTCAATGGGATTTGCCTGGTTAAATAAAGGTTAATAAATTATTTAAAAAAAAGAAACATTTATTGAGATTTAGACTACTGATTTTATTTATTAACTTTTACCTAACCAGGCACATCCCACTGAGATCAAAGATTTTTTTTTTTGCAAGGGAGGCCTGGGCATGAAGACAGCCTAGCAGCCGAAGACTTACAACTTCTGTAACTAGCCTGTAGGCTAATTATTATCTGAGAGTTTACTTAAAAATCGCTTCACCCTTTTTAGTGAGCATCATAACGTTGTCTTGATGTCATCATACTGCACTTTGATCACTAACTATTTTTTGCCCCATACAACCCTATGTACGTACTTTCAGTAACAGTAGGACAAAGCCACTCTTCTGGGGCTAAAAGTACAATACTTTCAATTTTCAAGCAGCTCATTTACTCAGCAGAAAACTCAATAATGGCTGAGCCAGGTCAGGTGAGAAACATCAAAACATCGGTCTGCGTCAGCATACTTCCCATACCCCCCACCCACCCAGTCAAAGTACGGGTGCAGACTGGCCTTGGGGGGGGGGGGGGGGGTCTGTGGGTCTTACCAAGAAATTTTTGAATAAAGTAGATGCCATTTCCTGCATTTTGGTGTATTTTGAACTGGATGTCCAAAAACTTCTTTAAAAAGTCTTCAGTTGATCCAAAATGTTGCTGCCAGAGTCTTAACTGGAGTTAGGGTCGGCTTGGGTTTCCTGAGCTGTCCCTTAGTTATGCTGCTATTGGCTTAGACTGCTAGAGGACAAACTGACCACACTTTTTTACTCTGCTGCTGTCTTTACTTACTCTGCACAACCTGTTTTGTATTTGTAATTATTTTTTCTATCCTTAACGTGTTTTTTGTTGTTATTTTTTGTCTTTCAGGTACACCTGGACCTATACCTGGACCTACCATTCTGTGTTCGTTTGTCTCTCCTTCCTGTCCTCTCAAACCAGCCGATCAAAGCAGATGGCCGCTTGTTCTGAACCTGGTTCTGCTAAATGTTTCTTCCTCATGAGGGAGTTTTTCCTTTCCACTGTCGCCTTCATGCTTGCTCAAGATGAGAGTTCTGTGATGGAGTTAAATTCAAAGCAGTCTGCTCCTCAGATAAATAATGTTAAATGATTATTTTTATATATGAATGTTTCTGTTCAGTGCCCTGAGACGAACTGAATTGAATTGAACGCGTGTTTAAACATCTACGTTTACAGAACACTTGATTCAGTAAGTATTTTAGAGAGCAACAACAACAGCTCTCTTCTTCTGTGTGAATGTGTGGGGGCTTGCCTACGTTTCTATGAAGGCAAGTCCCCCACCCCCACTTCACGGCTCCGAGCCTGACTCTTATCCGCTGAATTCAGTCCTGTGCGTTGTTGTCCAACTCAACGCACATGTGAAACTTCCAGGTGACTCCTCAGTCTGTTCATGACCGTCTTTTTGACATTTCAATCGCTGTTATTTTGACAAATAGGCGCCGTTGTTTTGATATATGATGTAATGTGAACAATGCACATCAATCATTTCTCTTGTTGTATCTTTATTAATAAAAAAATTATTCATAACCCACTTAAACTGTCAAACTGAGTTGCAAATTAGTTGTGCAATTAAATTTTATATATATATATATATATATATATATTTTTATTTTTTTATTTTTTTTTAAATATATATAAAAATGCACAAAGACTTTGGTCTTTTAGGGGGTGGAGATTCGAGTTACCGGATCCAAGTACACAGTTGCCAGCACGCCACCCTGTCAAAAAAAGAGAGTTCCCGGATCTTGTTCCGGCAGGATCCAGCTCAAATTAATTGCTGCCTTTTGTGCTTTTTAGCTAGCTTTTGCTATTTAAAAAAAATCTTAGATAGTTTTTAGATCGTTTTAGCATTTAACTAACATTTTGCGACTTTTAGCTAGAGTTACGCTTCTTTTTCTTTTGACTTTTCCCTCTTCGGGGGTTGCCATAGCAAGTGTTCTCCATCTCACTCACTCACTTTCAGCCACTTCCAGTTCTTTTTCCTGTCTTTTTGTCAGTGCCATCATCTTCAATACATACAAAATACTGTACAATGGCTGGTCTCACCACTTTCTTGTAAACGTTTCCTTTGACATTTGCTGACACCCTTTTGTCACAAATCACTCCTGAAACTTTTCTCTGTCCGCTCCATCCTGCCTGGACTCTCTTCTTGACCTCTTTACCACACTTCTCATTTTCCTGGACAGTGGACCCCAAACAGGGCTTAATTTGAGCTGGATTGTGCTGGAACAAGCTCCAGAAACTTTCTCATTTTCACAGGGTGCGTTCCAGCAACTGTGTGCTCGGATCTGGCAACTCAAATCTCTGCCCCTAAAAGTCCAAAGTCATTGCACATTTTTATTTTGATTAATTATTAAGAATACAACAAGAGAAGACGGTGTCCTTGGCCTAACAAACCCAGTCTGTGGAGTGGATGTTCCGGCTGCAGCATGCGCAGTGCCAGCCCAAGCATCCATGGAGCCCTAAGCGAAATTTTGTTTGGGGCCCACTATTTCTGCTAATCATGTGGATTACTGCAATAAACAGTCAGATAATCAGATCATTCACCCACCTAGCATACATTCATTGCAACTCTTGACAGCCCTGTTTACATTATCCTATATGTATATGTGTGATACTAAAAGTACCAAAAGAAAAAAAAAACACCAGTATGCAAAGTATTTTATAGCAAAAGTGTCATCTGGTTTATTATCTTTGGTTCCAAAGAACTGCAACAGTAATGTTCAAAATAATTTGTAGCGCAAGATCAACAACAAACAGTAGATAAAATAACTTAGCTGCATGAACATAAATGAAATTGTGCAAAAACAGACAAAATAAAATAAAATAAAATATCAAGGTTTCTTTTGTCCTTTTTGCATGTATAGAGAATGATTTCTACATGATCACACACACACACACACACACACACATATATATATATATTTTTTTTATATATCACAACTTAATAATGAAATTGTGTAATAGAATCGTATAGAAATCACAAAAAAAAAAAAATCAATTCCACTTAGAGGGCCCCCTAGTGGCCCCGGGACTCTAAGCAGCCGCTTAGCTTGCTTATGCCTTGGGCCGGCCCAGAGCATGCGCACCAGCTAGCGCACACACTCCTGCAGCTTCTTCGGCAAAGTAATTCAGAACATTCAGCTCAGTTTGTTTTCACAGAAAATGTTTCTTTTTAAATCTGGAGAATAGTTTAAATGTTTTTCTTCTTCTTCCGGCTGCTCCCTGCGTTGGGGGTCGCCACAGCGAACTAAGTCGCACGAAGACTTGGCAGTTATTTACGCTGGATGCCCTTCCTGACGCAACCACAGACCTCCGAGCTACCACAGCCCTCTGTGTGGAGCAGAGAGCTGCTATCTAGGACACCCGGAGGAGCAGATGGTGGGGGTTAAGGGCCTTGCTCAAGGGCCCAGCGTGGAACGAATGAGGGTGGGGGCAGGTGTGGGTGCTTCACCTACCCCACCCACATTTTTTTTTTATGTTGTCGGTACCGGGGCTTGAACTGGAAATCTTCCGATCACAGGCCCACCTTCTCTAACCTCTGCGCCACCACTCCCCTAGAATAGTTTAAATGTTTTTGTGACCAGAATAAAAAAATGAATACTAGTTTTATATCTCCTCCTGTTTTTTGTTTGTTTGTTTGTTTCATTTCTCATCCTGAGAGCAGGTGTACGGTCTCACCGTGTCAACGCCCCCCAGCATCAGCTCCGTCACACTGATGTAGACCTCCGCTCGGCTCAGTCTGTCAGACGACAGCAGGTAAGCCAGGTAAGACCCCTCTGCAGGCTCCCCTCTGCTCACCTGAGCTTCGAGATCAGCCACTCGTTTCTCGATGAGTTTCTGAGCTGCCAAACAGAAGCTTCATTCACTGACTGAATCAGCACCAGGAGCAAAGCTGCAGGAAGCTGATGTTTCAGAGACGTACCCACGTCATACAGGTGGTCCCAGGCCTGGACGAAGTTCCTCCATAAGGGCAGGATGCTGCGGCTCCAGCGGGGGAATACGATCATGATGTTGGACAGCGACAGCATGTTGTTAACTGCAGCGATGAAGCGCAGAGTGTCTTCAGGAACGTCCTCCTGCAGACAGCCCAGCCTAGTCTCAAACAGGACCGAGCAGATCCCTACAGGGTGGAGGACAAACTCCATCATCAGTCGCTTCTCCTTAAATAAATGCAACATCTGTGTTTGCAGTAGCTCTCACCTTCAAACCCAAACTTGTACAGCTCAGCTGCCACATCAGGAACTGTGGCCTGGTCTGGACTGCGACTGCGCAGGAGCTCCACACGCTGCAGCAGATCCCCTACTACCTGGTGGATGACCGGGGCATAGGCCGACACCTCTCGTGGCTTCAGCATCTTAGGGTTCAAGACGCTACGGATCCGGTACCACTCCAGTCCAGTCCTGTCAGGTCAGAAACACAAAGTCTTTCTTGGTTCTTAAAGGAAAAATAAACACCAGAACACACAAGAGTAACGGGTTCTGAAAGGTTCAAGGTTTCATGGTTTTATTATTATTACTTTGTTCCAATAAAACACACAAAAAACAATATTTATAGTAGATAAGATATTCAATAACAAAAATTTTCAGTGCAACCAGAGAGTGGACGTGGGCCGGTGTTCTCTGGATTCCATCTCTGCTATTTACAGATGACATGGTCCTGCTGGTAATGTGTCATGATTTCTAGCTCTCACTCGAGCAGTTCACAGACGAGTATGAAGCAGCTGAGATGAAGATCAGCACATCCAAATGTGAAGGTATAGTCCTCAATCAGAAAAGGGTGTACTGCCCTGTCCAGGGTGGGAGTGCAGTGTTGCCTCAAAGGGAGGAGTTGAAGTATCTCTTGGTTTTGTTCACAGGTAAGGGAAGAATGGAGAACAAACGGATCGGTGCAGCATTCGCTGGATTGTCTACTCTGATCCATTGAGGTGAAGAGGGAGCTGAGCTGCAAGGGGCACCTCCTTGTTTACCAGACAGTCTATGTTCCCATCATCACATATGATCACAAATTCAAGGTAATGACCGAAAGAACAAGATCATGAGTACAGGAGGTTGACATTAGTTTTCACTAGTGTTGTAGTCAAGACCACCTAACCCGAGACCAAGTAAAGACCAAGACTTTTAGGCTCCGAGACCAAGTCAAGACCAACTAGAGTGTACCGAGACCGAGGCAAGACCAAGACTTTTAGGGTCCGAGACCAAGTCAAGACCATGACCAGAGTGTACCGAGACAAGACCAAGACTTTTAGGGTCCGAGACCAAGTCAAAACCAAGACCAGAGTGTACCGAGACCGAGGCAAGACCAAGACTTTTAGGGTCTGAGACCAAGTCAAGACCAAGACCTCAAATAAAATAAAATAACAATATTTTTTCTTATTATAAAAGTTACATACTGCAACTTTAAGTTTGCTTTTGAATGAATATATCAGCTTTTATAAATGTTCATAGCTACATAAAGAAATCAGACATTCAGTGGCCTAACTTCATGTGATTCAACAATAAAATTACACAACTGTTAAATTGGAAGCAGTTTCATCACATACCAAGTCTTAAAAAACTGAAGTAGCAAAACACTCTTCATAAGTCTGAACTCAACACCAAGGATAACCATATAGTTGCACAGTGGTTTCAATAAAGTAGTAGATATGCACCTACAAAGTTACATAAATGGATATTAGTTACAAGTATATTCTTTGTGATTTAAATAGGCAAATTTTATAACTGATGATATGGCAGACATCTTCTCCTGCGCCCAGACAATCACTTCTCACTTTCTTGGAGTGACCAGTGTTGCCAGATAAGAGTTGAGGCTTTCCAGACCAAAAATCTGTTAAAAACTGCCACATCACACAAAAATCCACCCAGTCAATATATTGTTACAGTATATTTACTGTTGGAACATGAACACACAGCAGTACAAGCCAAGGTAATTTAACAATATGTAGCAAAATGCAAAAATCTTCCCAGAGTTCCCAGCAAAATCAGAATGAAACCTGCTCAATCTGGCAACACTGGGAGTGATGCGTGCGAGTGAAAGAGGTTGGGCGTGACAGCGGTAACAAAACCATGTATTTAGCAATTAGTCACGTTATCTATTGGATTTGAACCAGTACATTTTGCATCCAGTAAAAGCAAAGATGTTAACAAATTAAACTGGACAATATTCTGGAAGTTTAGGGATATTTCCACAGTTGTGGTCTGGACTGGTCTTGAAATAAAATCCTGAGACCGAGACCAAATGTGTTCGAGTCCGAGACAAGGCCAAGACCATCAAAAAGTGGTCTTGAGACCGGTTTCAAGACCAAGACCGGTCTTGAGTACTACAACACTAGTTTTCGCTGCAGGGATTCTTCTTAGGGATAGAAGAAGAACTTTAGTGATCTAGGACAGACTGAAAGTAGAGCTGCTGCTCCTCAACATTGAGAAGAGCCAGTTGAGGTAGTTTGAGTATCATCGTTTGAGTGGTAAGGATGCCTCCTGGATGCCTAAATATTGGCATTAAATATTGTTTAACTGGAAGCAGACACAGCTGGAGCAACTATGTCCTGATGCATGCTCAATAATTCAGGTAGATAAACCGAACATGGTTGAGTTAGGTCATTTGGACAGGTTCTTCTTTGTTTTAACATTTGTCTTTTATCCTGGAGAGACTATGTCTCTTGGAATCCTCCCAGAAGAAGTGAAAGAGTTGGTTTTGGAGAAAGATTTCTGGGCCTCTCTGCTCAAGCTGCTGCCCCTGTGACCTGACTCAAGAACAAGCAGCAGATAATGGGTGGATGGATGCTGCAGTCCGGTGATTTAAACATTAAACCTCTGTTCGGACATTAAAACATTATTCCAAGCAGTCCAGACTTACTCTACATGCAGACCGTATGCCTGTCCCCTCAGGTCCCTGTACTCCTTCCAGTGGGGCAGCTCGGCCCGAACTGGGTACTTGCCCTCCTGCTGGATCACCTGAGTGATGAGATCTGGAGACGCCACGTTGACCAGGTCAAGGGGTCCGAACCGAGACCGCCAGATGGGTCCGTAGAGACTCTTCTGTAAACACTGGGGAAAATATGTTTGCAACTATTAAACTACACAGTACTCCAAATTAGGGGTCCTTAAATGGAGGTCTGAAGAGACAGATTATTAGGTAAATTTCAAAACAAGTTTTCTCACATTTATTGCCCAGTAATATTATTAAGAGGCAGCTTTTTTTTTTTTTTTTTGGCCACACAGTGAATGTTCTCTAATGATTGGGCCCATGTGAAGTTTTTGGTGTTTGGTGGAGGACCTGAGTTTGATGGGAAGTGAAACCACTACGAAGGGGAAAAGATGGGCGAGCTCAGAGTTCATTATAATAACTAAAGGATTAGCATTCTTAGAAGGAATGCAAATCACCCGTCACCTTTCATGTCTGCGTTGTCTTTTGTTGAGAAATGATGGAGTTGTAGCTGTTTTGGTCAAATCTTGAAAATCACATTATGTGTGATTTCATTCTCAGAATACATTTTGAGGATAACTCTCAGCTGCTACCTCTCCAAATTTTAACTCAACATTTGTCAAACTGACAGAGTTATAGACAGTTTAGAGATGTCTAAGGTCAGTTAACTGTGACAACCATCTTGAATAGGGTTGAGTCCAGAAGTTAAACAGATGTAGATGTACATTCAATGATTATTTTCTTTCATAAAATCAATCTGAGGTATTTTCCAACAACCAGTATTGACTTCAAATAGCAAAAACAAAGGCAATCTGTAGACGTTATTGTCTTTCCTACAAAACCCCCTAAAGAATCTTGTCCAGAACCAGTGGTGGCTGGTCAATAGCGGGTGCTAGGGTGCTGCCCCACCACTCACACCACTCACCATATTACCTAGAAGACATAAAAAAAATTAAATAATAAAATCAAAATATTTTGAAATATATGTGTATTTTTTTTAGTTGTGTAAGATAAAAATTTTACAGTTAATGATGAGTAAAGTTGTTTCTTTCAAAAACATTGTTGCTGATTGATGATGTATTTCCGCCCTGGGGGCGCAAGAATCTTTGTCCATAGACTCTCATTAAAAGTCTTAAATGCGTAGTTAGCTCCTCTTCATTAAAGAAGAGTGTGAAATAAATAAAAAAAGATATAGGACTATTCTGGGCGCAATCCTCGTGCGCCCAAATTATGGGCCCACGGTACGGCACGGTACGGATAGTGCTTCCGGTCCCAGAACAGATTGTGCAGTGACGCTTAAAAAAAATTGAATTAATTTTTATTTTTTAATCTTTATTTAAGCAAATGGCAAGTGTACAACAAACAAATGAATGACATATACAGAAAAACAAAGCACTTACATGAACAAACAACTAGGGGTGTTAATAAGACAAATACATGCAAAGATTTACATATAGAGATTGTCCTGAGGACCTTTTCAGCGGTAGAGTCTATTATTGATTTAACATATAGTATAATAATATATATATAATATATATATATATATATATATATATATGTATATATATATTTATTTATTTATTTATTTATTTTTTTTTTTTCTTTCTTCTTCTTCTTTCGGCTGCTCCCTTTTTAGGGGTCGCCACAGCGAACTAAGTCGCACGAAGACTTGGCAGTTATTTTTTTACGCTACATGCCCTTCCTGACGCAACCACAGACCACCGAGCTACCACAGCCCTCTGTGTGGAGCAGATGATAAGGATCTATGGCACCCGGAGGAGCAGATGGTGGGGGCTAAGGGCCTTGCTCAAGGGCCCAGAGTGGGACGAATGAGGGCAGGTGCGGGTGCTTCACCTACCCCACCCACATTTTTGATGTTGTTGGTACCGGGGCTTGAACCGGCGATCTTCTGATCACAGGCCCACCTTCTCTAAACTCTGCGCCACCACACATATATATATATACATATATATATATATACACACACATATATATATACATATATATATATATACACACACATATATATATACATATATATATATATATATACACACACATA